ATTATGGCGGTATATGTGCAAATGTGCTTGACACACTGGATGAATGTATGGATTGTGATAAGCGATGAAGAGCTCCCAATAAAAGTATTTAAGTAGAAAGAAAATGCTTTGAAAATGATGGCAGCATATGTGCAAATGTGCTTGACACACTGGATGAATGTATGGATTGTGATAAGCGATGTAAGAGCCCCCAATAAAAGTATTTAATTAAGAAAATTATAGAAAAAGAGTGTATGACTTCTTAGTCAGGAGCTCTCAAAAATATGAAGTAATGTTCTTATACTCCAGCTTGCCATAAGAGTTCTCACAGCTGAACCTTGCCGTAATCAAACCTCCCTCTCTCTTAAAAAGTGCCAACAGTAAAATTCTACATGCCCTTCCAGATCTACCTTACTTCCGGCTCCCAATGCAATCTGCCTATCTAGGCCTTTCAGTAAACCTTTGAATTGGGTTCCATCTTTCCATATCAGTGTCTATCCTTAAGAAGCACAGGTGGCGCTGCGGACTGCTAACCACCAGTTTGCTGGTTCACAACCACCAATCATTTCATGAGAAAAAAATGATGCTGTTTGCTCCCACAAATATTTACAGTTTGTGCAGCCATGTATAGTATCTCTGTGAGTTTTGATTGAGTGCAATGGTAATTAATCAAATGAACTTGATGGCAGTTCCTTTGTCTTGGTTGGGGGTGGGTATTTTTTACTTTCTCATATTTGGCAAAGAAAATTCTAAGTTTTAAGTGGTAGTTAGCCATTTCTATACATATATACATCATATGTATCAAAAACTGCTACCTAAACTATATTTCTGCACTCATCTGTCAGTTTCCTGTACTGTGGTGACATGCATGGTGCTGTGATGCCGGAATCTATGCCTCTAGTGTTTCAAATACCAGTGGAGTCATTCATCTGGGGGAGGTTTCAACAGAGTTTCCAATCTAATCATACACTGGGAAGAAGGCATAGGTTGACCACTGCGGAAGGCTTTGTCACGTAACGTGTAAATAGCAGTGGAACCTGTCACGTAACATGTAAATAGCAGTCAAAACTTGTCTGATATAGCGCTAGAAGGTAGAGAACCCTTCAGTGCGGAAGGCACTTATAATCAGGAAGAGTTGCCCTTTCAAAGTCGATTTGGCCTTAATGACATTGATGAAGCAAGACTTGTAGGACCTTTATCTGGTGATGGGGCACAACACAAAATGAAAAGAAACAGGTGAAATATCCATTAATAATCTAAGGTAGAATGTGTTAAATCTAAATATAAGAAAATTAGACATCTCAAAATAAAATGGAACCCAAAAGTATTGATATTCTGAGCAATAGTGGGCTGAAATGGATGAATATTGGGTAATTTGAATCAGATGATCACATGATTTATTATGTTGGGAATGACAAATTCAAGAGAACTGGTATTATGTTCATC